CCCCAAAACCCCAAAACCCCAAAACCCCTTGGAGAAGAAGGCGGATTGAGTTTAGATGGAGGAGTTAAGAGCAAGGTAGGATCTGAGGCGGGATTTTGACTTTCTTTTGTACAGGTCTGAACTGGGAAGAGCGGTTCTTTTGGGAGGTTTAGCAGGGTTGAGTGGGGGGTTGTAGGCGGAAGGGTGAGAGAGTTGGTTTGGAAGAGGTCGTGTTTTATTTAGATCAATAGAGAACTTCATTGCAAGGTTTTCACGAGAGAGAGAATTTTCAATTGCAGCATATGGGTGGAGAGGAGTTTTTGTGGAAGAGATTTTTTGGAGATTACGACCCTGGCTAGAAATCCTTTTCAAAGAAGATTTTGAAGACTTATTGAGCTTTAAATTTTCTTGACCACAAGAAAGACATTTTGAATCAAGCTCTTTGTTTAATGCTAAAGGTGTGATAGTTTTTATCATCTTTTCAATATCCGAGGTAGCTTTAGATAATGTTAAGACCCATCCTTCTATTCTTTCAACATCCTTCTTCGAGTCTAACTGGTTTTCTTTAATCCCTCTGATTCTTGAATCTACTTTGTTGAACTTGTCTTCTACCTCTTCAGTGATTGCTCTATCTTTAATTAGTCCGTATAAAGAGTCGAAATTAAGTTCTACTTTTAAACTGTTAACTCTTTTATCTATTCTTGATTGGAACTCCTTCAGATTTTCCTGCATTTGCTCTATCTGCCTCTTAACCTGGAAGTTAGGAAGACCTTTTGAAGATACTGATTTGTTCTTGAGAGGACTAGAAGGCTCCTTTGGTTCTACAAAATTTTCAAACTGAGTTTGGATAATTTTGTCAGAGATTTCTTCCTTTAGTTCATCTCGAAGAGCATTTAAACTTCGGTTAGTGTCATACTGGAGTCTTTGAAGGCGATTATTTTATGGCATCTATTTCTACATGATATTGTGTAAATGACTCAGGAGGAGCACCTGCTGAGACAGTAGGGTCTTCAGCAGGTCTTGCTATAGGTTTCGAAAAGAACTCTTTAATTTCTTCATCAATCCTTTTGATTTGTGAGAGATTTGATTCAAATCTTTCCTTTGTCTTTTGATCAATATTATGGATTGATTGTTCTAGAGGTTGCAGCTTTGATTCTAAAGTGTGAAAATCTAAATACCTAATCTATCTTCAATCATTCCGGATACTTGTTCTATAATTTCAGCCTTCTGATCTTTGAAATCTTGCTCAAGTACAATTATCTGGTTGCTTAAATTTGAAATACTTGATGTAATTTGGTTATTCTTAATGTCAATTTCTAGGTATTTTGTATGAAGCTTGTTAAATCTATTCTCGAGTCTAAAGAATAGAAGTAGAGTTACTTAGTAGTGATATCTTCAATTGCATTCTTTTGTTCTTCTTTTATTGCCTTAGTTTCGAACTGGACATGATCATAAACACTATTGATATCCATCTTATTCTTGAGTTGATCATTGAGTCTGATTAACTTCTTGATAGTGTCTTCTTCAATCTTATATACAGCTTGTTTGACTTCAACTGAATGGTCTACATTCTTTGTCTCTATTTGATGAATGTGATCTTCCACTTTGGTTATTCTTGACTTGATTTTAACTTTAAATTTCATTGTCTGTTTTTGTAAGAGAAAATTACCTTATCTTCAAAAAGTTGATCAAACTCCCTTCTGTAAATCTTGTTAGAAATATCATGCTCGCATCCTTCCAATTTTTGTTGAATTTTAATGACTTTGTTTTGAACTTTGTGGTGATCAGTGATGAAGTTCCGAAGTCCTTCTTGGTAAAAGCAGAATGCTTCTTTCATCCTGGAAAGATTAGTAAAGAGTTACTTTTTGATTATAGGGTCTTCTCTAGGACTTTCCTTAGATTCTTCTGGCGATTGATCTTTTGATATAAACTCTCTTAAGAAAGTTTCATTCATGCTCAAAAATAATCTTTGAACTAGATGATATTTAAACTTCTGGTTTTGAATTTGCTCACTCAACGAAAGAGATTCATATAAAATAAACAGTTTATGAGTATTACTATACTAATATCCAATTTTATCTCTCTGTTATCATATCAATTTTAGTGAGTGATACTTACTGTTCTCAGCAAGCTTATTTTGCATATTTTTCATTTCTAACTTCTGCAATGTTGCTTTCGATAGTAGCAATTTTATTCTATGAAATAAATTTTCCTCTTACAGACAATTTTGTCGTATCCAAGCTTGCTGATATCTCTGGGGTATATTGGAGAGTGGACATTTAAATTTATAAATTATTAGTTATAAGTTTCAAAATTAGTTTTGAATTTTGGGGTTTTGGGGTTTTGGGGTTTTGGGGTTTTGGGG